TGCTCGTGGTCACGTTGCCGTCCACGCTCGTCTGCGGGAGGAGGAGAAAGGGGAATTGGAGAGAGGGAGAGAATAAATGAGTGGTAGTGATGGTGATTATTGTTAGAATGAGGAGAAAGGGGGATTGGAGAGGGAGAGAATAAATGAGGTTATTGGATGGTTGTGAAAGTGGCAGTGATTATGATTATTGTAGTGGCGAATGAGGAGGAGAAAGGGGGATTGGAGAGAGAGAGAATAAAGGGGGGATGGGTGAGAAGTTAGTGATAGTAATGATGATGATTTTTAGAATGAGGAGAAAGGGGAATTGGAGAGAGAGAGAGCATAAATAAAAGGTTATTGGATATGAAAGTGGATAGTAATGATGATGATTGTTAGAATGAGGAGAAAGTGGAATTGGTGAGAGAGAGAATAAAGGGGAGGTTATTTGACGGTTGTGATAGTGGTAGTGATAGTAATGAGGTTGTTAGAATGAGGATAAGAAAGGGGAATTAGAGAAAGAGAATAAATGAGAGGTGATTGGAAGGTTATGAGAGTAATAGTGATTGTAAGAATGGTGATTCTTAGAATGGGGTTATTAATAATGACAGCGATGGTAATGATGATCATCCTCTTGTTTGTAGTTATTGTTCTACCAATAATGATAACAGTTATAATCGAGATAATGATGATTAAATAATATTGAAAACCATCATCGTCATAATAACATAATAATAATATTAACAATAATGGTATTAATAATTATGACAATAATGAGAGTATTAACGATAGTATGATAACAGCAGTTATAATGATAATAGTGATAAGAGTGATAGTTAAGACATTTATGGTAATATCGGTAGTATTAGTTATATGGTTTTAATAATAATAGGACAAACAACAACAACATCAACAATAATAATAGCAATAGTAATATGGGCAATGCTAATGATAGTGAAAACGATAATGACATGATATAAAAAATCATAGCAATAACAATAATGATAATGGCAGTAATGATATCAACGGTGGTACAATCAATTATGATAACAATTATGATAATAGCAAAAATGATAATCTTAACAGCAACAAAAAACAAAAATGATACTGATTGTAATGTTGAGAATCACCAAATAATAATGATAACGATAACAGCTGTACTACTACTAATAACAACAACAATAATAAAACAATACTACTAATACCGATAATGAAAATGATAACATCACTAACAACAATAATCATATCAAACAAACACAATGACGATGCTAATCACCAAGCACAAATACAGCACAGCATCAACATGAACCTTGTCCCACGAAAAGGGAATTCTCTCCCCCTCCTTTCAGCGATAATTACCAAGATATTTCTCCCAGTCCTTTTTTTCCCAGGCGGTTCTCATCCACATTCAGGGCCTCCAAGTACCCGTGTGTTCTGAATTGGTCTCAAATCCCCTAGAGTAGAGTACGGCCCCTCCCCTTCATTAATATGCAGACAATTAAAGCACCCCTGCCATGCAATAACACCATTAAAACCTCATATACATATTTTGCATGACAGCTATGGTTTCTGCCTGCCTGTTGCAGCCCATGTACACCTTGCTTAATGGGCTCTCTTTTCTTTTCCTTTTGTCTCTATTAAAAGCTGGGTTTGAGGATTGGCTATGTTATTATGCCAAATTATTGATTATACTATTACTGCTGCTACTATTTCCACCCCTACTACTACTGGTTCTACTACCATCACTACCACCTCTTCTTCTACTACTACTACTACTACTGCTGCTGCTGCCACCACCACTCTTAGTACTACTACTATTACTAATAACTCCTAATGCTACAAGTACTTTTACTATTCTACTACTACTACTACTGCAATGAGACTACTACCACTTGTATAACTTCTACTGTGACTATTTCTGCTGTTAACCGTGCTTCTGTCGCAACGATTACTAATACTGTTGGTGATGCAGCCGTTGCTTCTATAAGCCCTTGAAAATGGTCTCCAATCCTCAGGTAGTTCGTATTAGCTCACAAAATGCACTGCGTTACACTCTTTAATATGGTAACGTTAATTCCACAGAGACACAGACTTACTGGGAGTGTTATAAGCGTGGCATATAGATATACGATCTTTGTTACTGCTGAGAGTGTTACAAGCTAGGCCTGTCGACGTACGAACTATGCTACTGCCTGTTAACTAGTGAACAATGCACTGGATACGACAACACTATTTTTACCGTCGGCGAACCTATAATTATTAGTGTTACTGGTGCTGTTGTGTGATACACCTCTCTATCGCGTTCTCTCCAGTTCACTTTATGACTAAAGGATTTGTGTGAGTTTGTATATCAGCAAATGATTGACATGGTTCGGTGGACAGCCACATCAAAGTTTAATGGAAGTGCGAAGAGCAAGGGGGATACTCCATTCGCTAAACTAACATTAATCTCTCTCTCTCCCTCTCTCTTTTGTCTCTTCTTTCTCTCTTCTCTCTCTCTCTCTCTCTCTCTCTCTCTCTCTATGTCTGTCTCTCTGTCTCTCTCTCTCTCATTTACTAAATTAACATTATTCACTCATTCAATATTCTTTCTCTTTTTTCTCGCCACCCTCTCTCTCATTCACTAAACTAAAGTTATTATCTCTGTCTCTCATTTACTGTATTATTATTCTCTCTCTCTCTCTCTCATGACCGGCGAATCTTGCGTGGAAATACTCGTCTTTTGTACCTTGTTCCTCGTTCACAACAATCTTGTCGTTTTCGGAATTGGCAACAGTTACGTCGTTCTTCCTTCCTCTGCGCTCTGTTTATGACAATCCTCGTTGAAAATCCGAACGCCGAAGAAACTCTATAGATTCAAAAACTCTATACATTCAAAATCAATTCTTATGTCCCTTTTAATATGTTAGCAGCTTACAATACTGACTCCTCGCCTTCCACTGGCTTGGGATTCGGGTCGGGTGCAGAGTCGCTTCGAATTTCTTGCAACACTTTGACCGTTGCATAGTTAAGTCCATCGTGACGGATGCAGACGTCGAGATCAGTGTTGCGTTTTTCTTTTACTTTCTTCGTGTATGTAATAGCGTTTTTTCTTTGGATATTTTCTTGTATGTCTAATATCGTATTTCTTTTTGCGTCTAATATCGTATTTCTTGTATATAATATTGTTGTCTAATGTCGTACATGCATTTCTTTTTACATCTAATATCGCATTTTTTTTTTTTACATCTAATATCGCATCTTCATGTACATGTCTTGTCGTATTTCGTTTACTATTTTCCTGTATATCTCGGAGCATATTTCTCATGTATTTCTCATTTTCTGTAGATTTCATAGCGTATTTCTTATGTATTTCTCATTTTCTGTATATCTCATGGCGCATTTCTCATTTATTCTCATTTTCTGTATATCTCATATAGCGTATTTGATAAACCTTAAAGTGCAATTTAATTATATTCTGTGGATGATACATCTATCTCTTCGTTGAATCTGTCTTTCAATCACGCTAATGCCTAAACATTGATGATTAATTAATTCATAGCGATCCTTTAATTAATAAATGAAATGAAGTGCGTGGAATTGATGCTTGAAAATGTTTTTAATATTTCAATGTTATTTTCACTTCTCAAGGTGATGAAATATCTTAAGTATAAAAAGTATCTGATTAAAGTATAAATTATTCGGTGGATTATTTGAACCAGAAAGTACCCAATAGTCTGTCTGAAGTATGAAGAATCCGGTAGTTTATTGGAAATAGTGACAATGAAATATAAAACATCCGATTCGCTAAAAAAAAAAGTATAAACGACAAAACAAAGGAACAGAGGCAATTGGCACAATTCCATGTAAGAAGTTGATTTAATTCATGCCTTTCCGACAGTAGTCTATGAATATTTGTGAAGCCCGCTTGTAATGGCCCAGACCCCCCCCAAAAAAAAAAAAATGGTTTATTAATTTTCATTCTACTTTGTTTTTTTCTTTTGTAAAGTAGTTAATATGGGGAAAAGAACATTACGTCAACCAGGTCCCACGAGTTTACAATTTATAATTCAGTACATAAATATTTATAGTTCTATCCCGCACCTGTTAGATCGCTGACGTGCTGTGTGCTTATTAAACATTAACGGCCGCGATTTGAAAAGAAGGGAAAGTTTGTGGCGTCAAAAAAAAAAAAAAAAAAAAAAAAAAAAAAAAAAAAAAAAAAAAAATAGCGAGAATGAAAAGTTAATTTTAAGAGGATTAATGTGGGGTAAGGTGATAGGAGGGGGGGGGGAGGGAAGGGCTTAGATAAAAAAGAAAAAGAGAAAAAAGAAAATGTACAAGAAAGAGCATGCATGGAAGGGATACGTTAGAGAACTGAAACCGGGGAATCTCTGGTGATGTTTTCAAAAAAAGGTTCTCAGAGGTTCTGTCGCATAGTTCAGAGTTTGAGAGTTGCTGAACTGAGGCCGTCGAGTTCATCTGGACAACCCAGCTTGTGACGTAGCTTTGTTTTACTTATCAATATAATTAATCAATCATCATCATCATCATCATCATCATAATCATCATCATCATCATCATCACCATCACATCATCATCACCATCATTCATCATCATCACCACCATCATTCATCATCACCATCATCATCATCACCATCACCATCATCAATCCACCATCCATCATCATCACCACCATATCATCATCATCATCATTATCATCATCATTTACATACATACTTCACTATTCCGAGAATATCACTGAGTCATCACCATCACCATCACCATCATCACCATCATCATCATCACTGTCAGTAAGGAAAGTCTGGAGATTCACGAAAACGAAGCTGCAATTGACAGAATTAGTCAAAGTCAAGTGGGAAGCGACTTGCAATACGACTGAGAGCATCGGATTAAAGTTAATCGGGTGACAGATTAATGAATTTTTATTCAATCTTATTAAAAAAAAAAAAAAAAAATATAATTGGCAACTCGAACTTTCGCGGTTCTGTCCCCGAGTCAAGTTCGAGAGCAAGAAGGGCATCTTAGGCTACACACTGGATACGATTGGATGAAAGATTGAAATATTCATCTGAAGAATATTCTGTCACTAGACATTTATAACGGTATCTTGAATACACTTAATGTAAACTCTATTTACATTCTATAAAAGGAAACCCACATATTCCCTCGTAAAAACCTTAATAACGTTAGCTCTTGAACGTTTTAACGATGTCACAGGAACAGAAACCTTCTCAGGCTGAACATTTCGAACCTTTTTTAATATTTAAATGATTTCTGAAGATTATACTCAAAACTGATTTCATACATTCTTTTTTTCTACGTGAAATACTCTGAGAATTTAAAAAAAGAAAGAAAAAGAAAAAAAGAAGAAAAAAAGGAATAAAGAAAAAAATATATAACGATGGTTACATAACGCGGCAAATTTCACCTATACAAGCATTCATATAATCAACCTCAAAACCTCTCACTCTTACCAGAAACTATAACTATAACAACAACAAAAGGAACAACACTAACATCAACAACATCAACGCTAAAACAACTATTTTCACAATAAACAGACTCTCCCCCCCCGGCATAACCACGCCTACCATACAAACACATAAATGAATGGGTAATGTAAATGTGTGAGAATATATTTGAATATGTTATGCTAAATATACATCTGCACATAAGTAATATTTCTCACACAAACTAATCTTGAGCATCTCCCCCGAGTTTAAATAACGTACAAGAACAGCTGTGAGGGAGGGAGAGGAGGGGAGGGAGGGAAGAAGGGAGGAGGAAGGGAGGGAAGGAGGAGAGGGAGAGAGGAGGGAGAGGAGAGAGAGAGAGAGGAGAGAGAGAGAGAGAGAGAGAGAGAAGAGAGAGAGGAGAGAGAGAGAGAGAGGGAGGGAGGAAGGGAGGGAGGGAGGAGGGAGGGAGGGAGGGAGGAAGGGAGGAAGGGAGGAAGGAAGGAAGGAAGGAAGGAAGGAAGGAAAGGAAGGAGGAAGGAAGTTATAAGGCAGGCAGGAATGTTATAACTACTGTTCTCCTCTCTATTTTCTCCTCCCTCTCTACTTCTCTCTTCTTCTAAAACTCTCTCTCTCTCTCTCTCCCTCTCTTCCTCTCTCTCTCCTTCCCCTTCCTCCTCATCCTCCTTCCTCTTCCCCACCTCCTCCTCCGCCTCTCTCTCCGCCTTCATAAGAATCGCAGATGTATTAATAAGGCGACAGCCTGTCAACATGTCCCAAGTGAGATCATGAACACACATTCCTTTTTTTCTCCACATTCATATGGTTCTTCTACCGTTGTAGTTTGCATTTTATCCTGACTGTGTTTATCATGTTTGTTTTTTATGTGTTCTGTGATATACATTCTCTGATAATAATTCTAACTCAACCACAATTGCTAATGTTAGTGGGATATTTGCGTTAATTCTAATTCAAATACCAGAGAATTATCAATACTATTATCAAAAGTAGTTATGTTTTAATGATAGTGATTGTGATAGTAATAAGGGCAATCCTTTTGATTAATATTGACCTGATTATCTACTAAGACTTCTGCTTCAACTAATACTAATACTAATACCAGTCTGGTAATGACATTAATACCAGTAGTGATACAAATACCAATAATAATGTATATAATTACAATGATACTGATAATGATAGTAATAACGACATTAACATCGATTCATAAAAAAACATCTTCATAATGAAATCAGTAATTACAATAATCTCCCGTGACCTATTTTGCCCACATTGCGAATTCCCAGCATCTCAAATAGCCTTCATCTCACATATCTTCTCTCTCTCTCTCTCTCTCTCACTCTCTCTCTCTCTCTCTCTCTCTCTCTCTCTCTCTCTCTCATCTTCTCCTCTCTTCTCTTCCCCCTCTCTCTCTCGCTCGCTTTTTTGCAGCATTTAATAAAATTTTTTTTAAGGCCTTTATCTTCCCAAGTCAGAATTGGATTTCCGCCCATACGCATATAGTCTAATTCCCTGTCTATATTCCCCTTCATTTTTATGATGTAATTCACTCTAATGCATATTCTATGTGATCAGTTTCATTTGTGTTGCGGAGTGAGAGGGAGGGATGGAGGAGGGAGGGAAGGAGAGGGGGGGAGGGAAGGGGAGGGGGTGAGGAGAAGGGGAGGGAGGAGAGGGAGAGGGGGAGGGGGCAGGGGGAAGGAGAGGGGGAGGGGGGCAATGGAGAGGTGGGAAGGAGAGGGAGAGGGAGGTGGGAAGGTGGAGGTGGGAAGGGTGGGAGAGTGGAGAGGAGAAGAGAGAAAGAGAGGAGAAGAGAGAGAGAGAGGAGAGAGAGAGCGAGAGAAGAGAGAGGAGAGAGGATGAGAGAGAGAGAAGAGGGGCCGATAATGAAACTAATAGGGGAGTCTGTCACTATATCTCTGTCTGTCATTACCTCTATCTCATTCTGTCCTATGTTGTCTGGTTAAAATTATTTCTGTCGCCACACAATCTTCACACGTGGAACTGTTCATAGAATGTTATGAAACTGGAGAGAGTGTTTCAAGACTAGTATATACGAGAAAATATTATACTCTGTGGCAAATAGTAATTGACACCATTAGATATTCAACAATACATTCCACATGACTTTGCGCGTGACCCATTTATTTGCTCTTATTATGTTTGTGTATGTATGTTATGTGTATGTGTATGTGTATGTGTGGCGTGTGCGTGTGCGTGTGCGTGTGCGTGTGCGTGTGTGCGTGTGTGTGTGTGTGTGTGTGTGTGTGGGTGTGGTGCTTGGGTTTTTTGTATGTGTATATTTGTGGCATATACATATACTCCTCCTCTTGTGTGTATTTTAGGTGTTTCTATGTGTATTTGTATGTTTGTTTGTGTATGTGTATGATTAAGCACATTTATTTGTACGTTGGGTGTTTTGTAAATTGTGTTTTCATTTGTTTGTATATTTGCGTTTGTATGTGTATTTGTATGCGTGTTTGTATGTCTTTCTGTTTGTGTGTGTGAGTATGGGCTTGTCTCTCTGTTTATTAATACACCTGTTTGATTGCCTGTCGTGTGTTTGACTGCATGCTCGTTCCAAAGCCTCCTTTTTGAACTTTGAACTTTGTAAACATTATCATTCGCCACCAACCGAGATCTCGGTGTGATGAACAGATTACGGTTAATCATTATTATTATTATTATTATTATTATTATCATATTATTATCATTGTTATTATTATTATTATTATCATTATTATTATTTATCATTATAATATCATCATTATCATTATCATTATCATCATTATTACTATTATTGTTATCATTATTATTATTATTATCATTATCATTATCATTATTATTATTATTTTATCATTATTACTATATATCATTATTCTATTATCATTTCATCATCATCATCATTATTATTATTATTAATATTATATCATTATTATTATTATTATTATTATTATATTATTATTATTATTATTATTATTATTATTATTATTATTATTATCATTATCATTATTGTAAGCAATATAAAGAGCCACAGTGAAAAAAATCGAGATTTATATCACCAAAGGTGTCAGTGCAGGCCAAGATACAGCTAAGAAAGAATAAGATAGAAAGTCAGCTAATTACGTAAAGAAAAACATGTTCGCTGATCTTTTAAACTTATCATGAGCACATTTTACACTAAAAGTAAATGAACATGAGACAACATACCACTCAAATTATCTCCTTTTCGCGTGCACAAACACTTACACATACGCGATCACATCATTCCTACATGTACACACCCAAAAAGAAATTTGTACACAACTCTATCCCGATATACTTGCACAGAACCCTCATATATATAGCTTTTACACACACAGACCTACCCAATCCCCTACTCTTTCACACTCATATATGCTCCTCCACACACAGCATGATAACATACACACACACAGACAATCTTCACAGCCCACGACAAACACATGCATGTATTCCTCATCCATCATAGATTCTCTTGACCATACTCTTACCACATACCACATACCACTGCTCCCATGTATTACATATACATACATATACATATACATACATACTGCCTACATAATTTTCGTCTCCATCTTTCACATATCCCCCGCCCTAAACCACATATCCACACCCCTACCTCCTTCCCCACATACTCACCCTCCCTCATACTTCTCCCCTCCCTCATACCTATTCCCCCCCACCACATACTCCCCTCCCTCTGTACTCCCTTCGCCCCTCTCACATCCTCTCCTCCCCACTTCCACATACTCACCTCCTCCTCCTCCTCCAAAACCCTACCCCCCCACCGACCCCCCCTCCCAAAACCCTACCCCCCTCCGACCCCCCGCCTCCAAAACCCTACCTCCCTCCCATCACATCCCCCCTCGGCCAACCCCACATACCCCTCCCCACCCTGTCACCCCCCCCTCCTCCTTCACGTAACAGAGGGCCAACAAGAGGCCGCAATCGTTCCAAATTCCATAAAGGCGACAAAATGGGAAAGAAATATTGGAAAATCGACATGTTGGAAACCTGAGGAAGGGGCGAGGCGATAAAAAGAGGAAGGAAGTGAGAGAGAGAGGGGAGAGAGGGAGAGAGGAGAGGGAGACGAGAGAGAGGGAGAGAGAGGGAGAGAGAGAGAGAGAGAAGAGAGAGAGAGAGAGAGAGAGAGAAGAGAGAGAGAGAAGAGAGAGAGAGAGAGAGAGAGAGAGAGAGAGAGGGAGAGAGAGAGAGAGAGAGAGGAGGAGAGAGAGGGAGAGAGAGGGGAGAGGGGAGGGGAAAGGAAACCCAATAATGTTTTGTAGAAATGAGGGGAGTGAGAAGAAAGAAGGAAAAAGAGAAGAGTGAGAATGAGAGATAGATAGATAGATAGATAGATAGAGAGATAGAAAAATAATATTTTGTAGAATGAGGAGAGTGAGAAAGAAAGAAGGAAAGAAGAGAAAGTGAGAAGAGAGAGAGAGAGAGAGAGAGAGAGAGAGAGAGAGAGAGAGAGAGAGAGAGAGAGAGAGAGAGAGAGAGAGAGAGAGAGAGAGAAGAGAAATGAAATGAAACAGATAGAGAAAACAAGAAGAATGAGTATAACAATAAAGAATAGACATACAAA